TAATAATTTAACTCGATAAGTTGATAGAGAATAAAAATTGATCAGATTATCGTGAAATCTTTTTTCCTCTCTTTTCTTCTTCTTTCTACTCTTGATCATTACCATGTTTACATGAGTTATCTAATATTACCTTTAGGAGTTATCCTTACATCTCTTTATCATGTACATATAAAGCATACGCATCAGGCTATAAATACTGATGGAACAAAGTATGAGAGTAAAACTGATCCAAAATGGTAAACATAATTATTGATACAAAATTTAGTCAATTAGATGAAACTGAATGGTTTACATTACAGAATCACATCAATATCATTTTGGGTTATCCTTTTGGGCATTGGATAGCATTCGTTCTCATCAAATTGATCATCAGGAATCACTTTCATTTCGAAATGTTGACCCTTTAAATTGTAACTCGCCATTTGTCAACATACAATGTTCACCTGCTTCACTCTGAGTTCACAGAAAGTAGCCTTTTTATTCACCTTCAAGCTTTAAGAGTATCATTTGGTAATTGCTTTCAATTCAACTTGATGGTTAGATGGTGAAAACACCAGCAAAATAAACAAGAACGACATTAACTTCAAGTTTTGTCAACTTTACAAACAAATCTTTAAATTGTTACCAGAAAAGTTTTGACAATTTTTCACTTTTCACATTTTTACAATTCTATCATTGCAAGTCTTGGGATTTAGTCAAAACAAGAGTCTGAATAGTCCAGAGTCGAGCAAAGGGCAAAGGCATCAGTGGTTAAATCAACTGGTTAAAATGAAATTGGTGCCAATTGAGGGCGAGTATTATAGCTAGTTTAGCTAGTATTCGTTCGTTAGGCTCGGTAACCAGTTCGAGTATGCTTTCATTGTTGTTACAAAGTTTAGAGATGACACAGATCAACATTTTTCACCATATATTATCTCAAACTGTGTGACAGTCTTTCTGAAAATCTCATTTCGCTTGATCGGCTTTTGCTTGCTTAATTTACATTAGCTGTTTTGGTCTTGGTTTAACCGTTTTTTGCTTCGCTTAGTTTTGCATAAATAACTCTAGCTCTTGTAAACATTTAGTGCTTTTAAAGCAATCGAATCTCAAAACTGATCAACAAAAACCACTACAAAAGTACGAAACAAAATGCAGAAAGAAATAAAACGAGAAACGAAAACTGACACAACTTTGCCTTAGACTTGTTTCATGAAACGTTGTTGCGATAGACAGACCAGAGGTTTGGGTAGCAATCTGATATTATTGTTCAAGTTGTGCATTAAAGCTTATTCACGTGCAAAGACCATAAGATGAATATGCGTAAGGTTATAAGTTGCAGTAACTTCAAGAGAAACGCAAAGAACGACGAAACTTAACTGACTTGCTATTTAAGAGCAGCGTAAATTTACAATCCCAAGTTTTGCTTGATATCTAACTTGTTTTTAAACTTTTAAACCCAATATTAAGCTAAATAAAGCTTCAAATTCATCCCTTATAGCAAGTTTATTGTAATTATTGAAACAAAATTGTATTAAAATGGTTCAATTGACTTTAATTTCTATGTTTAAGTTATTTCAAATGCTAAAGTTGATGCAAAAATGAATAACACTAAATTATAAGCACTTTTACTTGGCTCAATAATCTTATTGAAATAAACTTTCTTCTTATTCCTTTCATTTCTATCATTTCGAGAATGACAATCAAACTTATTTACCTTTTCATTAGCATTTTGTTCACCTTTAATAAGTCAACAATGCTTATCCATCAATGGTAACTTCCGTCATCAGGAAATGACCTTTTCTTTTGCCTTAAACTCAATATCTGTAATCATTATGCACAATGTTAATCATTCAAATCAATCATTTGCAATGAAACAACAATGAATAGACAGCAAAAATTGACTTTTATTGATCAACAATTGCAATTTGATTGTTGCAAAAAAGTTGAGAAAACATAATGAAACTAAACTTAAACTAAACACTTGATCAAAATAAACTTCATTTGCAAACTTAGCGACACTTTTGACTGTTTCTTTGCAAATTGAATAACTAAACCTCAAGAGCTCAACACCAATTGACCATAAACTGATCAACCATTGACCAGTTGATTGTCGAAGTAAACAATCTAATCTAATTACTAAACAATCACTAGACTGTTAATCAAGATTCCCAAGTATTCGTCTTCCTTTTATTCAATTCTCATTCCAGACTCTCAACAATGGCTGACAAGAGATTTTCCCAATTTTCTGTTGATTCTTTACCTTCATCTTCACAATTATCACCATGAAAATGATCATAAAAACACAACAAAAAGTTGAACATTGAATGATATAGCAAAATGTTTAGACCAGTTGATATGATTAGATGAGGCCAGCAAGCTTTACTTATATTAATGGTTGACTTGGTTCGTGATGGAACACCATGTTAACTGTTACCTTTAATCATTATGATCACGATAATTATCATTTATTATCTTACATTTTCCTACTTCACTCCCAAGGTAACAATTAAATGTCAATATTATTGGAAACATGAACAAAAGTTAAAGCAGAAACAGTAGAAGCCGAGAAAAAAATCAACATCTCTATTTGCATTGTTCACTTTATTCACTTCTATTAGCATATTTCGTATGTTGTATTAACATTATTGCACACCTTTACCATTAATCAAATTGTTCTTCTCGATTTACCTGTTTTCTGTCAAAAGTAACATTTCAATCAAGTCCAAAGGAAGAATAATGAAAGACATTTTAAAGTAAAATTGCTTTACATTTTGCATTTACATTTCTTTTCCATTGCAGAGGTTTGGTCACTTGAAATAACACAATTTGTTGTACCTAAATTAGCCGTTGTTGGCAAATCGTATGAACTTAAATGTTCAATTAGAGCAAATGAAGGTAAATTGGCAATCATTAAATGGTATCGAAACGATTCGGAAATATATCGAGTTCAAATTAAACCAGCAAAGACCAAAATATTTCCTGCAGTTGGAATCAATATTAATGTAAGTAAAACACATTCAGCATTTGTCACAAACCCATCAAACTAGTGTCTTGTTAAGTTATAAAAAGATGAATCGTAAATAGTTTCCACTCACAAACCGAACAGTGCGAACATCGAATCATGAGTTTTGCACCATTTCGATATAAACTTTCTTTTAATGGGGAGTTTGCGTTTTAAACGCTTTCATTACGAATATAATGTGCATTCATTTAGCAAATGATTTTGAATAGCCATTGCAATCAATTCCATTTTATTCATAACGAGTTTGACTAAATAAATCAGAAAACATACAATTCTTGCAGTAATTAAGTTTAATATTGAATGCAATATGCAGCAGAATTGCCCTCAAAACTCAATAGTTTTGCTTATTTGGTCAAACTAAAGCGATTATCAGAGTGAAAGAGACGTATCTAGTGTATCTTGTTTCGTCAACTTAGCGAACTACTTCGCTATTTCAAACATAAAGTGTTTGCTATGAAAGCTTAAAATAAAATGCTTAAAACGCGTTCTCAAGTTTAGCGAAACAATCAAATTTAATGTTAAAATATTAGTTTAATAATAGTTTATTCATTATTGCTAGTTTCGTGTTTTAGCTCAACACGAAATTGAATTCTGCGATCATTTTGTTCTAGCTATTAGTGACTTAATTTGTCAGCAAAACAGTTTTAAACATTTAACTTGTTTGATGAATTGATTAACTAAAAACCATTGCAATTGCAAACTTCAAAAGAAGCGATTTAAATGAGCTTTTATTGCCTGCGATTTTATCAATTTCAATGAATATTTCATTTTCCCATTGAGATGTTGAATAAAAATTCATTGAAGTTTGTCCAGCATTGAACATTTACTTTTGAATAAGTTGAAAGAAGAAGGAACAAGAAAAAATCAGAGAAACTTGGAAGGGAGTAAAGTCGAGAAACATATTGAAATAAGTTTATTTATGTGTAACAACAATATCTTTGTCTCTATTTCATTGCTTGTTGTTCACATATTGAGCTCTTATCTGTTCACTAACATGATCATTATCATGATGATTGTTCCCAACAACAAGAGTAATAATACTCTTTCAAATGATCAACCACCATTTATGATAACTACAGAAAGAAGAGAGAAAAGGATAAAACATTCATCCATTTTTAAAAACACAACACTTTTCACAGTCTATTTGTCTCTCATCTCTCATCCGATCATCCCAGATCTTCCCTCACAATTGACTTGATAATGTAACCCAACAATCTTCCAAACGATCATTCTCATCATTATCATCATGTTTCCTTCAACACTAACCAAACTTTTGTAACAATTTCCTTACCAACTCCTCCTTCCAGTTTCAACTCCATTTACAGCTTCATCATCATCCAAGTTTACCATTTTTTTAGATTCATCTTCATCTGTCTATTTCTCTCTTCCTTCTTCCCTTGTTTCATCCCTGTTTGCCTCACATTAGCTCATGTTACCTGTTAAGAAATGAACAAAAAAGCAAAGTCGAAAGATTATTTACTTTTTTCAGTTCTTCAGCATTCTTTTCAGGATTACAGTTGATGAAATCACCTGCACTTAATAGCAATCAACAATTATACAAACAATAAAAAGTCCAAAGTAAACATTCCCAGCATTTACATTATTAATGTTATTAACTGTGATAATCTTTTCATTGAAATAGCATTGACTTTGATCAAGAATTGAAACAAATCCAAACTTGAGGTTGAGCTAACATTTTCCTTTGCATTTCATGTAAACCATCAAAACTTGATAGAACATGATTTTCAGGCGAATCTTTCATTGCTATTGGATTCTCTGAAGAAGTTTTTCAAATTAAATTGAGCTTTTAATTTGAAATCAATTTGCTGATTGAAACTTGATTCATTCCCAATCAATATACAATTTTACCTTCAATGAATTAGATAAGAAAATTTCACTCTAAATGAATGATTGTCTTCCATGTTAATTCATATTTATTGTTATCGTCAGTAAACATCACAATTGTCATCTATTCTGTAAATAACTTTCATCGTATTCATTGAGAAGAGAAAGAAATGTCAGTTTTGTTTGTCCAAAATTTTGGGTTCCCTTTTTTGTTCTTCTCTTCAGTTGTCTGTCTCTTTACCAGAGAGACATTATTTTGATGTTTCCCAGTAACTCTTTTAGGGACAAAATCAACTGACCACTTAGAAGTAAGAATATTTTATTCATGATTATTATTCATTGAGGTTAGAGAGTGTTTCGTGTTGCTTCGGCTTATTGGTCAAGTAATGAAGGTGAATTTAGTTTGCAGTTTAATGATTGTTGAGTGACCGAAGGAAAGAGGCCAGGAAGTGAGATGATGATGAAGATGATGTTGATAGTGTGGATGGTTATGATGATGGTCATGATGAAGCAACTTGGAGTGAAGGTGAAGCCTTTTTAAATGATAACCATTATTTTACTTGGTTCTCATGTTTTTTCATCTTTTTTCTTGTTCCTCAACATTAACTTCAACAATTGAACCTTGAACAAAACAGCTAAACACTGTACTTGTTGTTGCTCGCTCAAGATGAATTATCATCAGACTTGTCTACTTTTCATTATTTATCATCATCATCAGAATAATAATAACAATAATCATGCTTTTCATCTCAACATTTATCAGTTATACAAAGATACTCTCAGTTCGCTTCGCATTTCAACTCAACATAACCATCAACTTTTCAATGAACCTGACAAACAGTGATGGATCAGAAAACGCATTTCGCATTACATCTATTTACTTAATCAACAATTCCCATTTCAATTATGCAAACATCATTAGAACAGATCACAATTAATTTAATTTCTATTAGATTTAACTTCATCAACAGCAATATTTGCAATAGCAATAGGTTTTTAAGCGATAGAAATGATCTTTAGTTATGCATTGAAGACAGTAAAGCAAGCAATTCTAGCTTTTAGGTGTATCAATGAGAATGCAAGACTAAACCCAAATGCTTTCTGAAACTATCCAAATAAGCTGCATTGAAGTAGAAAAAGTGTTCTTGATGCAACTGCGACAAGAAACGACAGACAAAACGCTTATTTTCTGCTGAAAGTAAGCGAATGTGAGAAATTTCCGATGACTTATGACCAAAGGTTTGGTTGATAATGAACGTGAAGAGTTTGCATATTTCTTTGGCCTTTGCATACGATTAGCAGAGCTCGCAAGCAAGGATAATTGCTGTTTGAGTGCATGATTTGCTTCAGTCTTCGAAGCTCTGTAATTACGATTTCAAAGTGCTCTATGATCAGCAGAGAGTATCTTTAAGTAAGGTTTTAAAGTATCTGTAAGAAGCTGTTGAGTAAAATTGACGTTTAATTCGCAAGGAAACGAATTTCACACGAAAAGCTTCCACTTTTGCAGCTAAACTGATGCGATTTCACTACTTATGTTCATAGAATGCAGTTTATTGCAAATTAACATCAATTCTGTAAGCTAGTTTCAAGTTAAAAACCGCAAACAATACAAAATATCATTCAAAACTCTTATAAAGCGTTTCTACAAAAGATAAAACGTTGCATCTTCGACAATTTCCAAGGCTTTTAAAACACTTTACTC